AAACATTTAGGATTGTTATGTCTTTTTTGTTGAGTTGTTCCCCATACCATTATATAATGACCATTTTTTGTCTTACTTTTGCTGTTTTGAAGTCTGTGTTATCTGTCAACAGAATGGTCACACCGGCTTTCTTTTGTTTTCTATTTGCATGAAATGTTGTTCTCCATCCCTTCCCCTTGAATCTGAATAAATCATGGGTTTGAGATGTTTCCTGGAGATAGAAGACCCTTAGCTTGTATTTTGTTATCCACTCAATCAATCCATGTCTCTTGAGAAGGGAGTTCAAGCCATTCGTGTTTATTTATAGAATTGAGAATTAGAGTGGATTTCTGTTTATCTTGTTGAGGAGAACTTTGTTGTTTTGTTTTACCTCGAGTCATTGTGGAATCTGCTCTCTGAACTTCAGATTTCAGGTGATTTTATACTGGTGGGTTTCTATTGTGCTGATCAGTATGTTATACAGAACTGAGTACCTCTTGCAGGACAGAGCTGGTCTTGACAAATTTCCTGAGTGTTTGCTGGTCTAAGAAAGTCTTTCTTCTCCCTCATACAACAAACTTAATTTTCCAGGGGTAGAATTCTGAGCTGGCCATTACTCTGAGAAAATTGAGAATGGGGCCCCTTCTGGTTTGTAGGGTCTCAGTTGAGAAGTCTTCAATTAGTCTGATGGATTTTCCTTTGTTAAGTTACCTGATGCTTTTTTTTGTCTTACAGTTTGTAGGATTTTTTCTTTCTTGCTAACATTGCCCAGTTTGATGACTATGTTTGTAGCATATGGAGATGATATGGAACATAATTGCAACAACAGGAAAAAAGAAAAAAAAAAGACTCAGGAAAAAAGTAGAAAATTGCTAGCGCATGGTCTTTGAGTAGGCTTGGTCCATTACAGATCCAGTGCACAAGTAGAGGACATTCTTATGTTCTTATGGAGCATGGAGAGTACATCCAAGTAAACATGTAGGCTACCTTCATGCATTTCCTATATATCATCTTGCCTTGTCCAATATCTACAATTGTCACTTCTTTTGCCTTTTCCTTTTTATTGACTACTGTGTTGTCTAGAACATTCAGAACTATGTTGAAATATAGTAATGATGTTAGAAATCAGTGGTTTTTAATGACATTTTAGATGTGTATTTCTGCTAAACCCATTCCCTTGTCACCACATCATTGATTCTTATGTAAACGGGTAACAAGTTACTTTTTTTCTCTTTCTTTCTATTTTTTTTGAGGCAGAGCATCACTTTCTTGCTCAGGTAGAGTGCCATAGCATCATAGCTGACAGGAACCTCAAATTGGGCTCAATTGATCCTACTCCCTCAACCTCCCAAGAAGCTGGGACTATAAGTGCCTGCCACAATGCCCAGCTATTTTTAGAGACAGGGTCTCTGCTCTTGCTCAGGCTGGTCTGGAACTCCTGAGCTCAAGCAATCCATATGCCTGGGTCCTTCAGAGTGCTAGGATTACAGGCATGAGCCACCGGCCCCGCTTTTCATGTTTTTTTCTGGGCTGATCAGGTTGGGATTGCTGACAGGTGAGCTAGGCAATGAGGATGTGTTCCAAGGACATGTGTACATGTCAGTGCTCGCACGCACACACACGCACACACACACACACACTGATATGCAGAGATTTTCCGTGCCAATTGGGTTTTATCTTTAGTATTTACTTGTAAAACCTGCTTTCTCCCGTTGTTCCAGTACCTTCAAAGTCCTACTTTCTCCATGAGTTTTTGTTCCAAAAGTTTCTACTACTCTGTAAGACTATAGTTTCTTTCCTTAAAATTTAGAAAGTAAATTTTCTCCGTACCCTTTAGCCCAGCAATGAAGCCATGGTTAACAAAAGCAAATAAATGTAATTGACCAGTTGGTTGAAAAAGCTACCAAATCTCTTCTTTGCAGTCCAGACTCATATATCTAACAATGTACATGAAGTCTCTGCTTTAATGTCTCATAGATTCTCAAACACAACATTTCTAAAAGTAGATTTTTGTTTTTACCTTCAAAATCTCTTCATCTCAGAGCCTTCTTAATTTCTAGTAATGTGTTACCTCCTTCCACCCAGTTGCTCTAGGTGGAATCCTGGATCATCCTCGATGCTCTTCAGTGACATTCTTGTTCCATTGCTCAGTATCATTTATGTAGGAAATATTTTACCAACTATAATTTATTTCCATGTTCTTTAAGCTTGGTACTTGACTGATAGTTGGCAATGTTTTTCTATATAAATGAATGAAATTCTTTAATGTCATTTATTAGTGATATTATCCTTCTTGATAATGCGTTCTTGGCCTTTTACAGGCTCACACACAATTCTATTCCAATAATTGATTCTTACTTTTAATATGATACAATGTAATTTCAGTGGTTACAACTTTGAGGAATAAAATTTTGAAAGTAACTAAAGTAACTACATTAATTACCTTGCCTTGATTTGTTTTAGGAAGTTTTGTCTTATACTTTTGAATGAATTTTGTTATCCATTTGTATAAAATGTCTTACTGAGATTTTTGTATTATATTGAACTATTTTTAGAAATGAAAAACACTGGCAAAAATTTTAATATCATTGAATTAGCATGAATATATCCTTGTCTAGTTTTTTCAATACAACTCAATAATTACAGTATCTTTTTTATCATGTAAAGAAATTTTCCATTGATGTTTAAAAGTCTTAAAAAATTAAAATTTGAAATTTAACATATAAGTCAACATATAATAAAGTGAATATTTTTTTAAACTTATTTTATTGCTATAGTGTATTCTAATTACTATTTTACTAGTTTTATAATAAATTCTCACTATTGGGGTTAAATCCCATGTTGTATCTTTATTTAATATATTATGTTTATTTGTTCAGATTTTGTTTAGAAAGGAAAGAAATAAAAACTCATCTGCTCTATCATGTAAAGCATGTAAATTGCCATCTTTGAAAAGTATCTTTAATAGTCTTTTCTTGCATGAAATGCTTTTGGACTAAGTGACCTCTTCACAGGCTGGAGGATAACTGTGTTGGAATGGCAGACTGTAAGACCAGTCTACAGGTATTAGGAATGAAAGGCACTTTTAGCATTTTCTAGTAATGCCTGCTTATTTTACAGGAGAGGGAGCTGAAGCTCACAAAGAATAACTTAGACAAAGTCAGAGTGAGTTTACGACTTTATATTGTATGCCTCCTCTTGTCTACAGTGCTGTTCTCCGAACAAAATGCAATAGCATACTTGGAAATTCTATCGCTACATTCCACAACCAAGGAAGAAACAAGAGGGCAAGGGCAAATATCCCTTACTCCGCATTTATTTCATCAGTTGTTTGTCTGCTGGTTCTTTGCTTGGCAGGTTGGGAGATGCTTGGGTCTCACTTGTTTTCCAGATTCCCAGTTGCAGTTGTTGACCCTGACTTCTCCACTCGGGGGCACCACTGTCTCTTCTGGGTTCAGTAATGATGTCTTTCTAACGCCTCTATTTCAGGTCAGTGAAGCTGTGTTCTAGATGTCAAATCACATGGATCGGAAGAAAAGAAATTTATTCTCTTCCCTGCTAGATAGTTTACTAGGCAGAAGCCCCTGAAAGTAAAAGCAGTCCCCATCCCAAGTCATCCACAGGAATTGAGGCAGGACATCTGTTAGGTGTCGGCCATATTCTATGTAGTTTCTACTTCAGGATCATTGCTATCCTAGGCTTGCAGTCTGTGTTTCAATAGAGGAAGGAAGTAAGCTTCTTGTCGTAATATCTAAACCACAGCTAGGTTTTGAGTAATGACAGAAGTTTTGTGAGTGTATGTCTTCCTTTAGAAAGATGTAATCTTAACGCTAAAATATTGGAATGTTTTGTGCATTTGGATGATTTGGGGGAAAACAGGATAAAATAGTTGAAAGAAGACTATTCAAGAAAATATATAGTCGCTGAACTTAGACACTGGCAGATAAAACCAATTTTTCTCTATCAGCTATGACTCAGACTGTTTTTAAAGGAATTTCCAATGAGCCCCAGGGAGGTGTGTAACTAGGGTATGGCTAGTATATTCTAAGCCTATGCTACGGGGTGAGTTTTTGAGACAGTCTTCTTCTCTATGTGGGATTAGGTGTCAGGTGAGCAGGAAAGTGAAGAGGGTTGAGGAAGTGGCCTACAGTAGTGCTGCTGGGGTAGCATACTCAAGTACTGTATTACAGAAAACCCTGGCAAAGGAGTCTAAAAGGATGTACTATGTTTAACTCTTGAACTGAATTAAGCCTACAAATAATGTAAGTTTTTCTTTCTTTTCTTTCTCTCACTTTCTTTCTTTTCTTTTCTCTCTTTCTCTTTCTATTGTTTTTTCCTTAATCAGGCCCCGGCGAGGGTCAATAATGTAAGTTCACAGAGCCGTTTCCAGAAAGGAACTGTGGGCCCCTCAATTTTTTTTTAAACTTTCCACCTTTCTATCTCTCTGTCCCACAGAGAGATGAACATGCCTTCTTGTACAGTACTATCTATACCTGATGCACTCTATTCGGCTCTTTGTTTTTTTTTTTTTTTTTTTTTTTTTTTTTGAGCCAGAGCCTCAAGCTATCCCCCTGGGTAGAGTGCCGTGGCATTATAGCTCACAGCAACCTCCAGCTCCTGGGTTCAAGCGAGTCTCCTGCCTCCGCCTCCCAAGTAGCTGGGACCACAGGCGCCCGCCACAACGCCCGGCTATTTTTTTTTGGTTGCAGTCGTCATTGTTGTTTGGCGGGTCCAGGCTGGGGATTCGAACCCACCACCTTAGGTGTACGTGGCTGGCGCCTTAGCCGGTTGAGCTATAGGCACCGAGCCAGCTCTTTGTTTTGATTGTAGAGAGCAAAAGAACCTGGGCCTAGCCTTGGCCTCACCTGTCCACTCTCTCACCCCATTTCTCCTGGCACTAGACCACACCTGTATGGACTGCTGCTCTCCCATGTTGGGATAAGCACCTGTGAGATCTGTGTTTCTGACTATAGCAGGTAGGCAGGGTGGAGCTTGGGGAAAGGCCACCTGGGTGAAACACTTGGCAGAAGCAGAGAGGTCCTTCTTCCTTGGTTATAGAGTTAGGGCCCAGGGTAGTAAGCTGATTGGCCAGATAGCTGTGTCTTTAGGTTGTAGGCACGGGCTCCTGATGGCTGGTCTCCAGTGCTGAACTGTGATCTTCTCAACTTTGGGGTCATCCCCCAATCGGGAGGCCTGATGCTTCTGTACCAAATAAGAGGAGGTTATGGATGTATGAGAGAGAGATCCTACTCTTTGGGCTCCCTCCCTGGCCTCCACTATTCTTAGAGCTTTTGTTATAAAACTCTGCCAGGAATAGGCATCACCGGCTCTGGGAGTTGTGATTCCTTGTATGGTCCACATGAAAAAGTCCTTGTTGGGCTTTAGGAGATAAGTGTCATAACCTATCAGAGCCTATGTTTTCATCAGGAAAACTCCTACTGCTTGCCTTAGAGAAATATTAAAATTAAGTAATAACAGGCGGGGTGTGGTGGCTCGTGCCTGTAACCCTAGCACTCTGGGAGGCTAAGGTGGGTGGACTGCTTGAGCTTAGGAGCTCAAGACCAGCCTGAGCAAGGGTGAAAACCCTCATATTTAACAACAACAACAACAACAAAAATAGCTGGAGGTCGTGGAGGCACCTGTAGTCCTAGCTACTCTGGAGGCTGAGACTAAAGGGTCACATGAGCCCAAGAGTTTGAGGTTGCTATGAGCTATGACCCCGCAGCACTCAACCCCAGGGCAACTGAATGAGACTCTGTCTCACCAAAAAAAAAAAAAAGTAATAACATAGATCCAAAAGGATTTTGGTCAATCCAAAATGCTCTTTATACGTAAAGGTTTACAGTAATTGCATTTATAATTTATGTATATATGAGATAACCTTTTACTTATTCCTCTTATGGTTTCAGCACTGAGCAAGATAAAGCATAACCATCTCTTCAAAAGGAATGCTTTTATTTCACAAGAGCCAACTGTCTGAGCTCTAAGACAAATTCTGTTCAAATAGGGATCTAGGGAGTTCACCTTCTCCATTTCCTGGTTCAAGAAGTACCACGCCTGAAACAGGTCAAACTGATTTTTTTTTTTTTACAAAAAGTGTTTATCTTTAAAGCCTTTTGAAGAACATGGCACTGCCCTCTTTCTTGACTCTGCAGTCCTCTGTGTCTCGATTGTCACTGTTGGAAAGTCATTCCTTATGTCTAAGTTAAATCTCTGATGTGGTAACCTGATCTTTTTTCTCCTCATCTCATTCTTATGGAAAAGAAATCAACATTTCTGAATGTTAGGGCACTGGTTTCTCAAACTTTTATTAGTTTTCCTTATAACTTTCTAAATCCCTGATTCTTTACTCCTTCTTCATGGCTTTCCTGTCCTATCTAGCATTCTTTCTTTCTATGTTCCCTCATTCCCTCACCTGACTAAAGAGAGTTTCTGAAAGTCTAGTACTGTGAAGTTCAGGACTGGCCCTAAGATTCCCGGGATTTATGATTGGGCTGAAGATAGAGGAGGAAGCCCCGGTTTGTAGTTTATCCTCAGTAGAGATGATGCAGGGACCACCTCTTGCCCCTTTTGAAGAGCCACCTATTGGAAGTACAGGATTTTGAATGTTCAAGGCTCAGAGATAGCCCTAATTCCTGGCCACATATCCATATCCAGGAGGATACTATCTCCTTTGGGGAGTATCAGAATAGGGCCACTTACCCAGTCCTAGGTGCAGATGACATGGGCATCGTGGAGCTCATCCCTGAGGTGGACACAGGAAGGGGTCATTAACTTACAGGGGTCTGGAAATGTCTCCCCAATTGCCAAGCTCATGTCCCTAGTTTGGAATATAGCTACTCAATGTGGGAGAGGCAAGCCTTGTGGGGATATTGAGGACACAGGTCTGTCAGAGGCAGTTGCAGAATGTGGCACCAGATACCTATCTACCTGTGAAGTGTAGTGAATCATGGCCATTGTAGCTCTGTTCAATTAGTGCTGGAAATTACAAGAGTTGGCCAAATGCTTCAGTTATGTGGCACTGCCATGGGAACAAGTCCCTAGTTTCTCACTTCTTATCCCTTCTTTTTTTTTGGTATGGACAATGGATACAATGAGACTTGACTTCCTCCCACCCTGAATGCCACCCTACTTGCCCTCACAGGTAAACAACAGTAGCATTTAGATCCAAAATCCATATTTTTACAGCCTGGGTAATCAGGTAAATATTTCCAGGACCCTACAGTGGAAATCAAGCTTCCTTGGATAAAGGAAAGTATCCTCCAAACAGAAGTAAACTTGACCCTGTTTAACCTTTTGCCAATTAGGGGTTAACATCCAAGTAAAGTATACCATAATGCTGCCAGGCCATAGTTCCTTATTCTGGTGAAGGTGATTGATCGGGCTTAGAGAAAGATCAGAAGAGGTCTTCTCTAGACTGTATATATTTAAAGACTCCCAAGAAGACTTGTACTCTTTTTTTTTTTTTTGAGACAGAGCTTCACGCTATCACCCTGGTAGAGTGCCGTGGCATCACAGCTCACAGCAACCTACAACTCCTGGGCCTAAGCGAGTCTCCTGCCTCTACCTCCCAAGTAGCTGGGACCACAGGCACCCGCCACAATGCTCGGCTATTTTTTGGTTGCAGCCGTCATTGTTGTTTGGCGGGTCCGGGCTGGATTCGAACCTGCCACCTTAGGTGTATGTGGCTGGCGCCTTAGCCACTTGAGCCACAGGTGCCAAGCCGAAGACTTGTACTCTTATGGACAGTTTTGTGAAGGAGCTGGAATACCAGATAGACCCCAAGAGCGTCAGAATCTCCTTTAGATTTCCTCCCTTCCTTGCCTCTTATGCCCACAGCTTAAGTCTCCTCATCTCTTCCATGGGGTATGCAAGTCCCACCCTAGACCTACTGAGTAAGGACCTGCTTTTTAACAAGAGACCTAGGTGTGATTTGTAAATATGTAAAAGTTTGAAAAGCTGTGATTTTTAAATTCTCTCCTAGATACGTAAAGGGAGGGGCTGCAAATACAGCTTTTATGCTCTAACTCCAGTCTCCTGGGTGTTTTGAGTATTTTCTCAAAACTCTGGAATTTGCATCTAGGCATTTGAGAACTGTAACTTGACCACCCTGAATAATCATTCCATTCTGACAGCCCTGCTATTCCATCCCTATCCCAGCCCTGGGAAGGTGTTCCTCGCTGTCCTTGCTGTCTCTTCTCTGTGGACAAGAGCCCATGTCTCCTTAGGCCCTCAATAGCTGTTCCAAGGGAGAAAGGGATCTCTCCATCCCTGTCTAGGTGCTGTAGACTGAAGGCCAGAATTGCCTCCAAATTCATATATTGAAACCTAATCTCCAGTGCAATGATATTAAGATGTGGGGTTTGGGGGAGGTGATGAGGTCATAAGGGCATTGCCTTCATGAATGATATTAGTGCCCTTATAAAAGGAGAACCCAGAGAGCTCCCTTGCTTCTTCTGCCATATGAGGACACAGCAAAAAAGACGCTGCCTGTGAGCTGGGAAGCAGACCCTCACCAGTCCAAATCTGCTGGCACCTTGTTCTTGGATGTGTCAGCCTCTAGAACTAGAAGAAATAAATTTCTGCTGTTTATAAGCCACACAACCTATGGTATTCTGTTATAACAGCCCAAATGGGCTAACACAAGGTAACTAGGCTGGACAGAGGAGAGACTAGCAGCGTTCATGGAGGCTTTAAGGAAAGCTGGTTCCCAGGCTGGCTGAAGGGGGGAAGGTAAAGAGCATCTGGACCTCAGCTCTAAGACAAGTGGAAGATTCTGAGATAAGACTTTGGGATGAACTAGTCCTTATTCTCTACCAAATCCCCTCTTTTGTTGCCTTACCCAGACCTTGAAATACTGCTCTTTTACCTCGAATCCGAGCATCTTCCTGCAGCTGAAAAGTAAGGAGATTTCAGAGAGTCAGAGACTATGGGGCTGGTCTTCTCTGGACCTTCAATGTACCAGCTGTAGAATCAATCAAATGCAGGGAAGTCTATTTGGGAAATCTGGACTTCTTGGAAGTAGAAATAAATCCTAAGTTTCCTGAAAGCAGAATTTATATTGTCTTTGAATCTCTAACACCAAACCACTTAAGATAATGCCCTGTATACAGCATATTTTCAAGATTTTTTTTGTTTGTTTGTTTGAGATAGAACCTCAAGCTGCCACCCTGGGTAGAGTGCCATAGCATCACAGCTCACAGCAACCTCTAACTCCTGGGCTCAAGTGATTCTCCTTCCTATGCCTCCCAAGTAGCTAGGACTATAGGCACCTGCCACAACACCCAGCTATTTTTTGGTTGCAGCTGTCATTGTTGTTTGGTGGGCCCAGGCTGGATTCGAACCCGTCAGCTCAGGTGTATGTGGCTGGTGCTTAGCTGCTTGAGCCACAGGTGCCAAGCCTCAATAAATATTTTTTGAATAATGAATAAATAAATAGGATCCAGCTATGGTTTCTGTAGGGAGGAGATACACAGTTTGTTACTTCAGAGTTGTAATTACACCATGGCCTCCCCTATTTTATTCTGTCTGGTCTTTCTGCTATGCCTTTTCTGGGCTCTGTTACCCTCCTTGTTCAGTGTGCAGTGGTTCTCTGTAGTGAACCTTTTAAGTACTTGCGAAGGACCTTGTAAAACACCCTTCTTACTCACCCTGGAAGAATAGTTGCCAATGATACACTTTGGGCCCTCTGAGCTCACACGAACCAACTAAATGGTTTTCTGCCTTAGGATGCTCTAGTGCTGGGTCTTATGTTTGCCTAAAGAAGAAAGCACCCTGCTGCCTCTTCCTTAGCTTTATTCTTTTTTTTTTTTTGAGATGGAGCCTCAAGCTATCCCCCTGGGTAGAGTGCCATGGCATTACAGCTCACAGCAACCTCCAACTCCTGGGCTCAAGTGAGTCTCCTGCCTCAGCCTCCCAAGTAGCTGGGACTACGGGCGCCCGCCGCAATGCCTGGCCATTTTTTGGTTGCAGCCGTCATTGTTGTTTGGAAGGCCTGGGCTGGGGATTCGAACCCACCACCTTAGGTGTATGTGGCTGGCGCCTTAGCCACTTGAGCCACAGGCGCCGAGCCCCTTAGCTTTATTCTTACCTGAGTATATAAACACACACATTTCCCTTATATGTTTGTGCCTAAAGTATTTGTTTTACTTGAGGGAGGATCTGTGGGGTTAGGGATTATATCTGACCAACTCCATGAATCAGCACCAGAGGAGAGCTTCTGCACAGGGGAGGTCACACACTGCTAACTTCATATGCAGGCCCTGAGAGGATGGCGTCGACAAACAAGTCTCACAGCTAAGCCTCCTCCTCCCACAAGCTGCGGGGGACTAATGTTCTGGGTGGGATAGAGGCATCCTGACCCCAGAGGCAAAATTTGGGTGAAAATATCAAGTTCCTGATTCTGTCTCATACTCCTTTTTACCCCACAGCCTGGCATAGGCTGTAATTTTCTTCCTTCCTTCCTTTTTTTAAATGAAAGCAATCCTGTTTTTTATCTTTACACTACTGAATTGGAAGAATAGAAAAAGAACAACAGTTGGGTGCTCAGAGGCAGTAATTTTCACCACAGTAAGTCCCAAATATAGCAGCACAATGCAGTGATACGGCTTTTGGACCATAGGAAGGGGCTCAGTTCTACCAAAAGTGATGCAGATAGGGAAATAGAGAAAGCTTATTTTCAAAGCTGAGCAATCCCTTTGTCATCATTCCTCCCAAACTGCCATTTCTAATATCACAAGAGGTACATGCTATATTTAAATTCTAATTTTAATGAAATTATGTCTTTATTCAGAGGAACGAAAGCTAAGAAATCTGTAAACAAGTTTTTTGTTTGCCCTAGCTTTAGAATATTAGCATTTGCCCCGAGCTATGTGTTTTCCTATCTTTATAGCTTATATAAATAGTCTGTTCCTAAGTAATTGTGCACATAGTGTTTGTTGCTTTTCAGTCTAACAAAGAGGAAAAAAAAAAAGATGTGACGGTTGGCTTGGTAGGACCAAGGCACCATCAGCACCTTGAGCAGGCTAATACAATAACTCAGTGTCTGTGGCAGCCCCATAATAGGGCAGTGCTTTACTATGTTGTTTAGATATTTGATTAGTGTTGAGAAAAGAGACGGAAAGGTGCACAGAGGAAGCACAGAGAAAGAGGATTGATTTCTATTTACCCAAGAAGCTTAGCCCTAGTTTCTAATTTGTACTTCCCTGCCATGTGTTAATAGGCACCATCTTCTAATAAGGAAGCTTATCATGTCACGTGGGGGCTCCCTTCAACTCAGTCACTTATCAGCATGTCATACAACCAACTACACAGAATGTTCTTGTTCTGGTGAATACAATTTTCTCTAGGTTACTACATTCCTTCTAGGGAATTGTTAGGTATCTTCTGGCCTTCGTTGCCTGAATTGATAAGTTAATGCTCCTCTTTAAAGGGATAAATTACTAGATAAATAAATGAATATAAAATCTTGGTCAGAGTCTCCATCTCAATAGCGTAAGGAAAAAATGAAATCAAGGACACATGGTGAGATCAGGAAATTCGCATCATCAAAATCTAATCTCACCTCATTTTGTATATCCTTGAAGGCTGTCAACACCTGACAAAAGACAAAAACATAGAACAATTAATAGTACAGACTGTCACTTTACACAAAGGCGTTTTATATAGAAAATTAAGTTACATAATCTCTCAGGTTTTAGGGTGTAGAGCGTGAATGCCAAAATACTAAATTTCTAGCTTCTGCGATGATCTTCATTGGCTTCCACTCTACTTACATCTCTGGGATGCCATTTCTGGTAAGTGGGGCAAATACAGTAGAGTAAAGAGAACTGGGCTGTGCTGGAGTATATAAGGAAAACCCATTGTTACTTTTATTTCCATTTAATGAGTCCTTACTCTAAGGTAAGTATTAAAATCAGCTCATATTTGTATGTAGGTTACAATACATTGGAAGACAGCACCAAATGTTGGTGAGGATAATATAGAACAGCTACAACTCTCATACCTTCTTGAAGGAAATGTAAAATTATATGATCACTTTGGAAAAAGTTCTGGCATTTTCTTATAAAACTAAATCTACACCTACTTTATTATCCAGCCATGGATGGGTACAATGACTGTTAGAACTCTGGGTTGCCTCATTTGGGAGAAAGCATGAGAACTTTAAGATGGGTGTATCTTGTTTGGTGGAAATATAGTTTTTGTAGATATTCAGGAGTGTCTATAAGGGTACATATGGGAAATGGATAGTAAAAGGGGCAAAATGTGCCAATTACCAATTTATTGCCTCTCAGCAATGCTTTGTTCACATTTTGTTATGTTGTATTCAACATTTGTTATGTTAAAGGTTATTTAATTATTTACTGGTTCTCAGCAGGATGGTCTTCTGACTCTTACACAAGCAACTCATTCTTCAGTTAATGCAATCATTGTGAGAACATGTGATAGTTATGCTATGTTTTCTTATGTAAAACATAAAGGAAGGGTCATTGGAAATCACAGAGAATAAAGAAAGTTGGTCATATCACTCATTTCATATAATATTGTACAGTGGGGGCTGACAGAAGAGGCTCTGGAGAATTTTATCCATTTTTCATCAAAAAGCCAGAGTCATTGATTTAATTAACAGTCATTTTCTACCTGGTTCCACATGGAAAACTATTAAATAATACTAAAAAGTAAACAATGATTCTTTAATTCTTATCTCTATATTCAGGGGTTTAAATGTAATGTGCAACTAAAATGTCAAGATTGGGATGTTGAAGTAGCCGGTATTTGTGGGAAGGCCTCTTAGAAACACCAAATAAATATCTGTGTTCTATGAAAGTGCACAACTGTGTTCTATGAAAGTTTACTGTGGCCATTTTATGGGCGTAACTAGCTTCTGCATTCATATTCTATTCTATATACAATGAAACCTGACATTGTCATGTTTGGGAACTGGCCATCTTGGTTGTCATTTTCAGATGGCTGGGAAACCAAGGACAATTTGTTAAAGTGAATAAAACACCAACTTTTATAGAATTACAAGAAGCTGCTCACGCATTAATTTAAGTCTATTTCTAAAAGTGGGGCTTAATAATGTAGAGTCTCAGACTTGCCGCTGAGGGCGTTGCTTCAGTTGGGAGACTGAAGGCTACAGATTCCTATTGATGGCTTAATGAGCCCATTTCTCGTTTTCAAGTTCTAAAACACTTTCTTGATAGGATTCAACATTTTATTCATTATAGAAGGTTTAATTAAACTATCTTCCACAAGGATGTCTCTTTTTGGATTGGATCTCTTTAAACCAATTTACAGGAAACAATTTAATCTAATTCCTGAGGCATATAGTTCTCTTGAGGTAGGATTGAAATATAATCTTATTCTTAGCTACAAATCAAAATACAGTCTTTTCCCTAACGACAGAAAGGGTAGTTCCTTACTTTCAAAGTACAGACTCATATTCTTTTGCTTTCTTCTTATGCATTGCATTATAACTCTTCAACAAATAAGAGTTGGAATAAGGCTCTCAAATCTAATTAACAAGCAGGGATGCCCCTGGCAACCCCGTTTCTACTGTTAGTCATTATTCTCATTCAAATAATTGTTAATAGATTTGGGAAGATGTAAGAAATTTTGAAGCATTTAAAAAATTTCACCGGTAACCTCTGATATCACAGAGAGAATCTGGCTATTGTATTCTTTTCAAATCTTTGTTGACATACCCTAAGACAATCAGAACAGGTAGAAACACACTAGTAACAAAGCAATCTCCCTCTTTAAGTCATGCTAAGCAGAATGGTGTCCCAGCTATTGAAATTTTATCTGAATGGAGACATTCAATTTTTATGTCTTTAAATATCTTGATATAGACCCTCCAGTTATAGCCGATGCGAAGAAAATAATCATCCTCTCTGCTAATGACAGGATCTCAATTATGCTCTAAGCAAGACTTCTGGAAGCAATAGAGCCACTTGGCATGTTACTCTCAAAAACAACAGCTCATTAGCAATTATATCCCCCCAAATCACTTTTTATGGATTCAGTTTGGAGTTCAAATAAATAAAACTGAACACCTCTACTCTGCAGATTGATTCATTTAATTTCCGAGAGGTTTATTTTGAGGCTTACTCATTCTGGAGGGCCCAATTCATTCAGAAAATGATGTTTTATGATGCGGGAACTGAGGGCCACAGTCAGTATTTGTTAGCCAATTTAGTGGTTCCAGAGGTAGAATGACTTTCTTTCTGTAACTGGCTCCATAAGCCAGAAAACATTTTTTATGGTTTTTATTTATAGTTCTCTTATGTTTCAAGTTTCCGGCCTATTAAGAGTTGCTGACCAGAACTTTGCAACTTTCTGTGGCACTGAGGTGTTCCCTTTTGAGTTTCTTTCCCAGGAACGGCAGAACCTCCTTGCAGCCATGAGATAACTATAGAGGCCTTAACCTCCTGTTTGTCCAGAAAAGACAAGATAAGCAATATACCACTGCAGATTTTACCCAAGGACCCACCAAGCCTGTGCAGATGAAGTTAATCAGAAACCTATGTGACAAGGAAAGTAACACATGATATACAATCCCCAAGCCAGATGTGCTCCTATGAATGGAGAAACTCATTAAAATAAAAATATCACATTTCTGGCTTGGTGCCTGTAGCTCAGCAGCTAGGGCGCCAGCCATATACACCAGAGTTGGCCGGTTTCAGCCTAGCCCAGGCGATAAACAGCAATGATATCTACAACAAAAAGATAGTTGGGCGCTGTGGTGGGTGCCTGTAGTCCCAGCTACTTGGGAGGCTGAGGCAAGAGAATCATGTAAGCCCATTTGAGGTTGCTGTGAGCTGTGACACCAGGACACTCTGAGGGTGACATAGACTCTGTCTCAAAAAATATATATATCATATTTCTTAAATTTATTTCTAAATTCAAGCCAATTCTAATAAAAATCAAAGTATTTTTCATGAAGCTTGACAAACTGATTCTAAAATTCATAAAACAAGAATAGCTAAGATAATTTTGAGAATAAAAATAGAGGGTCTTATACCAATAAATATCAAAGCATTTTATAAATTTAAGTAGGTAAAATAGTGTACAACTGACAAAATAGATGTACAAATTGGTGGGTGATTCTTGGCCATGGGTGATTTTAACCCCTTTCCCAAAGTATGCTAGGTAATGTCCAGAGACATTTTTGTTTATCAAACCGGGGAGGAGTCTTGCTACTGACATCTAATATGAGAGGTTACGGATGCTTCTGAGTATCCTGCAATGTACACAACAGCTCCCCACAAGAAAGAATTATCTAGCCCCAAAATGTTAATAGTGCTATAGTTGAGAGACTCTATAATATTCAGGAACAGACTCAGACATGTATGGGGAGTTAGTTGGCTTATGATAGAGGTGGCATTTCAAATCAGTGGGAGAAAACATTTCAAATCATTTATTATCAGTGAATAATCAAAACTGACTATTCAAAAAAGTTGAGAAAATTGTACATAGGAAAGAGTTACTTTCAAAATTAAAAGCACAGTTATAAGTAAATAACAGGAAAATTGTTTACAAATTATAAAACATTTTAGAAAAATATAGAATAATTAGGAGAGAAAAAAATCTTTTTATCAATATGTAAAACAAAAAAAAAGGACAATAAGCTTTACTATTTAAACCTTCTTTGTGGCAAAAGATAGAAAAACAGCTGGAAGAAGATATTTATAACACACATAGCAAACAACTAATATCCAAATTTTAAATATATACAAATCAAATTACCTTTATTATATACACAAATTATATATAATATGAAAATACACTATATTTATATATTTTAAAAGAATTATTTCTTTATATGCTTTCCTTCTTTCAAGAATCTCAGTTGTGCAAGTGGAGCAACATGGTGAATCAGGAAGACCGTCAGGCCGAGCTCTCCTACAGCAACTGAGAAACTGGAGTTAGTCCCTCGGCTCTCGGAGAAGAGATTTTGCCTGGAGCTGTGGCTCAGGGTAAGCTGCAAGGTTGCAGGGTGCTGATTGCTGTATGTGAACTGGAGCAACGTGGGGGAGGTCTGACATGCTAGGCAAGTCTTGCACACAGGCAGTAGTGGGAGCCCTCGCCAGCAGACAAGGCTGGGAACTGTGCAGGTAGGGGACCCAAGGAATCTTTTTGCAGTTTTCATTTCTCAGGGGTAGTGCATTGAGTGGATTGCCTGGAAGATGGCAAATCCGAACAGTATATAGCAGCCACATTTGAGGGAAATCCTCCTCTGAAGGATTCAGGAGAAATCTGAATTCCCAACCCCAAGGAACTCGATCGCTGAAGAAACAATCAGGCATCACTGTGGACAATTAAGTTGGGGATCTGGTTTATGCCTGGGTTCTAGAGAGAGGTTGTTAGCTGTGTTGTCCACCCCCTAAAAATACAGCCACCTGATGATCTGGCAATATATTACAAAACAAATATATTCTTACTAAAGTTGGACTCTCCCACCATATATATGCTTTTATGTATATATATGTCTATATATACTTATTTTATTTTATTTTGAGACACACTCTCACTATGGTGCCCTCAGTAGAGTGCTGTGGCATCACAGTTCACAGCAACCTCAAACTCATGGGC